GGGAGAGATGTCATTGGCCTGGGGCAGTCAGGGAAGACAGCATGGAGGAGCTGACATTTGGCTTGGCCTTGAAGAATGTGTAGGTCAGAGAGAGACAGAGAGAGACAAAGAGAAAGAGAAAGAGAAATGAGAAACAGAGAGAGCTAGAGACAGAGAGAAGAAAATGAGAAACTGAGAGAACAGAGAGGCAGAGAGAGAGAGAGAAGGAAAGGAGAGACAAGAGAGGGAGAGAGAAAGAAGTGAGAAACAGAGAGAGGAGGGAGGGAGAGAGACAGAGAGGCAGAGACAGAGAAGGAGAGGAAATGAGAAACAGACAGAAGAAAATGAGAAACTGAGAGAATAGAGAGGCAGAGAGAGAGAACAGGTGGAAAGCCTTCTAAGTGCTTGTCCAAAAGGTGGTTACAAGAAGCGCACATTTGAGGCAATGAAGATCATAAGACTTAGACCCAGAGTTGGACGCGACCTCAGAGGTCACCTATTCCAAATCCTTCATTTTACAGATGAAGAAACTAAGGCTAAAAAAGTGACTTCATCGTCATGCAGGTAGCAAGAGGCAGAGCCTGGACCCAAACCCAGGTCCTCTGACTGCGGGGTGAGGGTTCTTCCCAGTGGGCCACACTCCATGTTGGGGACCATTGGATCAGGCTAGAAAGGTATGGTACAGCCAGACTGTAGAGCCTTGAATGCCAGGCTGAGGACTTTAAACTTTACCTTCGAGGGTACAGGCATCCACTGAACAGGAGAGTGGCACACCACAGAGTGGTATTTTAGGAAAAAGTCATCTGGTGGCCATGTGCGGGGAGCACTGCCCACCATCGGAATTGTGTGCCACCTCCAGCCAAGTTGGGCACACAACAGTCAATAGAAGCTTGTTGAATGAACAAAGTGGCAAATTCCCATTCCTGGGGGCAGACGCACAATGGGTGAATGTTACCCAAGAAGCGCTGGGCAGGAGGCCAAAGGCTCACCTGCCAAAATTCCAAACCAGAAAGAGTCCAACTGCAGCTTCTCTTCATCCCGGAGCACCCTGCACTTCCTCTGCTCAGCCCCCCAGAGGTCCTCATTGCCCCAGCCTGGTTCAGGCTGGCCAGTCCTCCAGAGGAGAGAGGAAAGGCTCATGGGAGCATTGATCTAGAATGGGAAGACATCTAATCCAACCCTTTCATTTCACAGAGAAAGAAACTGAGGCCCAGCAAGGTGCCATGACTTAAGCTCATAGCTCTAGAGCTGGTCAGGACTCCTGGGCCCATCTAGAGCAACCCCTCCTTTTACAGACCAGAGGACATTAAGTGACTTGCCCAGAGTCATACATGGAGTAGCATGCACATGCACAGAACTCAGGATGGGCACACAGAAGGAGAAGCCACAATAAACATGTGGAATTCAGAGTCAGAAGATGTGGACTGAATCCTGGCCCCTCCTCCTGCCCCAACACTTCTCTGCCTTTAGCGTCACAGAGCTAGACTTGGAAGGAAGCTCCGAGACCATCTAGTTCAATCTCTCCATTTTACAGATGAAGCTACTGAGGTTAAGCTACTTACCCAAATTCACACTGGTAACAAGAAGCAGAGGCAGATTTTGGACTCAGGTCCTCTGACTCCCACTGTACCACAATGCTTCCCTTTCTCTATTCGAGTTTAAGAGCAGTAGAAAGAATTGTAATTCTTTTCCCAGCTTTGCCCATGAGCCAGCCCCACATAGAGAGAAGACAGTGGGAGGGGGATGGGATTAGTCAGAAATGCTAGTGGGTTCTAGGCTCCAGAGGAGTGGCCCCTTTGGCATCCAGTTCCTGCCCCCCGCCCCCATTTCCCTCCACCTACATTCTCTTCTTCCTGGGCAGCTGAGATTTCTCACCTGGAAAGCCCTAGTCAAAGCATAAGCCCCCAATACTTCAAAGCAGTCTGGGTTAGGTGGTTCAGTGACAGCCGCTCTACATTCAAGGCTGATCCCTACAATGATCATTGATAAAGAGCCCAATGTGAAAAAAAAAAAAAGATTTCTAGTTTCCATCACCCCTTTCCACCATGATGTGACCCCTAAGGTGGGTGGCAATGTTTTTCATTGACTCACATTTAACACTGGGGGGAAACTGAGGCACAAGGGGACTCAGAGGGAGGAATCTATGGTATAGAATTCAGGCTCACATTGCCAATCAGCTTTTTTTCTCACTGGCTCACCATCCTTTCTGGGAGACCCACAACACCCTGGGCCTGGTTGGAAAGATTCACCAATGAATCCTCCCTTCCACAAGCGTGCTAGGACTCCTTCTGTGCACCCACCCAACACCAGGGAGGAACTCAGGGCTCTAAGGCCCCGTCACCGCTCCTGCCTGCCTAGTCTGCTGTTGACAAACATCTCTTCCCCAGGATCCAGGCCCCCATCCCCTGCGAGGGGAGTAAATTCTGCTGTCTCATGGTATCCTGGAGCCCACAGAGACCATCCACCCTGCCAGAGCTGCAGGCATCTGGGAGGGGGGAGGGGGCAGGAAGAAGGGGCCAACCAGCCCCATTCGGGCCACGTTGAACAAGGGGTGAAAAGTCTCTGTCCACGAGCTGGAGCACTCAATCTGACCCCAGACTCTCCCTCCCTCCCAGGTCCCCAGGAAAGGATGCTGAAATGTCTATGTGCCCGGCTCCCTGCTCTGAGGGCATCAGCCACCCTCATCCTGCTCCAGGAGTTAGTATGGGGGGAAGGGGAAGCGGCATTGGCTGCAAACCCCACAGACCCATTTAACAAAGAGCTGTCCTCAGCGTGGGCAGGCTCCCAGCCCCTGGCAGAACCAAAGGGGGGCATTTGGCATCCTCGCATGACTCCTGCACACACCCACCCAGGCCAGTCCCCGTGGTCTTTTTCCTTCCCGCTCACCCCCCCCCACCCCAGCCCCCTGACACGAATACAGATCCAGCTCAAGGACAATGCTTTTCCCCCCACCCGCTACCAAAATGCCCGGCCTCTACCGGCTCCCTCCTGAGCCCCACCGGCGTTTCCCCCGGGCCATCCCTCCCCCCCATCCCCTCCTTTGTTGCCAGCAGGGGCCGGGGTTTCCACGCTGCGGGCAGCCCCGGCCCCAATCCTGCCCCCGGCCCCGCTGCCTGCCTACCTTCTTCCTGCCTGCGTTGGTCCTCTGCATCCAGATGGCAAGGCGGCCGAGGCTGGGGCGGGGACTGGGGCTGGGGCCGAGGCTGGGCGCTGTCCTCCTTCCTTGCCCGCCTGCCCGCCTGGCCGGCCCGGCCTCGCCAAGCGCTGGCCTCCCCGCCTCCCTGCCCCTCCCTCCCTGGGGTTCTGGAGGGGAGGAGGAGGAGGAGGAGGAGGAAGAGGACAAGGAGGACCGGGAGGAAGAGGACAGGGAGGAAGAGGAGGAGGAGGAGGAGGAGAAGGAGGAGGAGGAGGAGGATGCCGCAGCAGCCCCAGCACCGAGAGCAGGCTGACCAGCCCCGGAGTCAGCGCTGCGCTGCGTTGCGCTGCGCTGCCCTGGGAGATGGATAGGGTGGGAGGCAGCCAGAGGCTAGCGGGCAGAGGCTGGCGGCTGGGCAGGAGGCTGGGCGGGCAGCAGAGGGTCCCGCCCCCTCCGCCCCGCCCCGGCTCCGCTCCGGCCCCTCCTCCCCGCCCGGTCCAGGGCCGGCTGGCAGCCCCAAGCCTCTGGATGTGCGGTGCGGCGGGCGCGCGGGAGGGCGGGCGCAGGGAGGCTGCTCTGCCCTGCCCTGCCCTGCCCTGCCCAGCCCAGGCCGGTGGGGCTCTGCAGGCTCCGGCCAGACCCTCGGCCAGCTGCAGCTGCAGCGGCTGCTCCCGCCTGAAACAAAAGGGGAAGGAGCCGAGCGGAGGGGAGGGAGGGGCAGTCCAGCTGTTTGCATGAAGCATTCTCGTGGTTCCCAGGTCGCGAAGCAGCCTGAAAACCACCCGGGAGGGCGGAAATGGACGCTTACACAGTTGTTTCCAAGCGGTTTACCCCGCTGAATTTGAGCTCCTTGAGGGCAGGCCCTGTGTTTTTTGCCTTGCTTTGTATCCCCAGCATTTAGCACAGAACCTGGCATATGGTAGTCACTTAATAAATGCATGAATGCTGTGACTACCATGTATATTACACCATATATATAATATCTGTAGTATAGTATACCATGTATATATCTACTGTATGTGTATACTATACATATATGTACATATGTGTATAATTCAAACCTTAACCCTAATTCTGACTATATATCTATATAGCCATCTATATCTATATTTATCTATGAAGAAGAGGGGGAGAGAGAGAGAGACTGACTTACATAATATAGTACATAGAGTGGTTTATGGTCAGAAAAAATCAGGTTCAAATCCTGCCCTCTGACAATTTCTGGTTGTGTAGGGCAAGTCACTTAATCTCTCTTGACTCTTATAAAATTCCCTAGAGCTTATCCACTGAGTTGTAGACCAGTGGCTATTTGCATTAGTGGAGGGACTTCACACCCTGGAAGTTCCACACAATGATGAACTCAAAGATCCTTGCTGTGTTCATGAACACCTATGTGCAGCCAGTGGCATAGTAGATAGAGAGCTGGCATGGGCTCTCTGGGGTCAAGAAAGATCTGGGGTCAATTCTTGCCTCTGACACATAATGGTAGTGTGACTTTGGGCAAGTCACTTCCCTTAAGGTCAGTGGTGTCAAACTCAAGTAGAAATGGGGGCCCCTAAACTACATGAGAATCCATGTGGCTGAACATTAGCTTAGAAAATCACATATTAATATTATCTGTGCCCTACTGTATTTTTATTTATTTTGCTAAATATTTTGCAATAACATTTTGATCTGGTTAGGCAGCAGTATCAGAGACCCATTGAATGCCATCTGTGCCTTATTGCAGAGATGGTGCTGACCATTGGTAGAGGGAATTTCCTCACTGGGACTTTCCTATACTCATAAGCTCACAGGCCCAGTCCCTGTCCCTGTCCCTACCCACAAGCACCTATATAAATGGACACGCCTGCTCGTACCTTGAGACCTACTGCCATACCTGATTGGGCCACTGAGGTCACCAGAGGTCACTGTGGCTTCCTGAAGGTGAGACCAGCAGAACACAAGTTCTGATGGGTCCAGCTGTGGCAGACAGTCCATCTGTCATCCAAGACCAGCCACATAGTCTAGAGACACTCCTCTGAGCTGGCCGTGAAATGAGATTGTTTTGAGTCACAGCAGATTACCAAAACCTATTCTTCCAAGGGACAGAGGAGTTGCAATCTAGGTTGGCAGGGGTAGGTTCCACTAAGATGAAACCTGAGAACTCGATTCAACACATGGCTTTTGGAAATCAATGATTTTGGAGGAAGCGGGTACCACAGAAAAAGCGGTGACCTTGGAATTATAGGGTCTGTGACTTTGAACCTGTATGACCTTGGACAAGTCACTTCTCTTCTCTGGACCTTAGTTTCCTCATCTGTAAAACAAAGAGGTACAATTAGATGGCCTCTGAGGGCCTTTCCAGTTCTAGAACAAAAATAGGAAAGGTTCTGAATTTCTCAGAAGTGATCTAGAACCATTAATCACTACTCCATTCTTCTTTCCTCCACGTTAAGACAGCTTCCTCTTTTGAGATGATCTAGTTCAAACCAAACTCTATATCCTAGGAGACACAACTTTGTTTCCTTAGACCAGGAGTGGGGAACCTGCAGCCTTGAGGCCACTTGTGGCCCTCTAGGTCCTCAAGTGAGGTCCTTTGACTGAATCCAAACTTCACAGAACAAATCCCCTTAATAACAGGATTTGTTCTATAAAACTTGAACTCAGTCAAAAGGCTGCACCCAAGGACAGGTTCCCCACTCTTACCTTAGGCTAATAATCTTGACCCTCCCAAGGCCACTGACCAAGCAGATATACCTATATCAGTGATGATTTGGAAGCCAACATCAAGACTTATCATATTGCGCAGTTATGCCTGGCTTATATGTGCAGGTATGTGTTTATCTAGGGGCAGCTCAGTGGTGCACTGGAGTCAGGAAGACCTGAGTTCAAATCTGGCCTCAGACACTTACTAGCTATGTGACCCTGGGTAAGTCACTTCACCCTGTTTGCCCCAGTTTCCTCATCTATAAAATGAGCAGGAGAAGAAAATGGCAAAGCACTCCAGTATCTCTGCCGAGAAAACCCCAAAGGGGGTCACAGAGAGGCAGACACAACTGAAGAACTGAATGATAACAATGTGTGTATGGGAGGGGAAGGGCAGGTTGTGGGTGGGGATGGAGAGTCTATAGAGTCACATGGGAAATGTTTCATCTTCTCCCACTTCCTTTTGTTAGGATCATAGATTTGGAGCTGGTAAGGACCTTAAGAGACCATCAAGTATGATGTCCTCAGATGAGGAAACTGAGGCAGAGAGTCAATGACCTGTCCAACACCACATAGCTAGAAATGCCTGAGGCAGGTTTCAAACACATTTTCCTAGCTCCAAGGACAATCCCTCTATCAGCTGCTCTACTTTATCTGACTATAGTTTTCATTTTTTAAAAACTTATTGTTAATTTATGGAATAAAACAAGCATTTCCATAACACGGTATAGTAGAAAAGATGATTGCCCATGAAACTACAAATCTACTATGCATAACTTGCTATTCCTTTCAAATATACAACAAAATCACTATGTAAATTTCTTTTTTTTCCTCTTTTCTTCCCTACCCCCCTTTCATTTTATCTTTTGTCATTTCCTAATATGCCCTACCCCTGTCTGTTTCAAGTCACCTTTCCCTTGTAGCAACAACAATAACAAAAAAGTGAAAAACTCACCTGAAATCAATTCCAGCTGTGGTCTAGTGAGCTCGATTCGGAGTCAGAAGGTCTAGGTTCGAGCCCTCCCTTTCTTCTTCTTACGAGGTGTGTAAACTTAGGCAAACCACTCTTAGGAGCTATGGGATAGTAGAAAAGGCACCAGATTTGGAACTAGAAAACCCAGGCCCCAAAACAGGCTCTCCTATATACGATGCGACTTTGAGCAAGTCATTTAACCAACCTGGCCTTAGTTTCCACATCTGTAAAAGGGGTTAGACTAGGTCATGTCTAAGCTCCCTTCCAGATCTAGATCTGTGATCCTTGAGCCTGTGGATCTGTTTTTTCAACTGTTAAGAAATAAAAAGGCAGGGCAGCTAGGTGGCGCAGTGTATAGAGCTCTGGCCTTGGAGTCAGGAGGGCCTGAGTTCAAATGCGGCCTCAGACACTTGACACTTACTAGCTGTGTGACCCTGGGCAAGTCACTTCAACCTGATTGTCTCACCAAAAGAAAAGAAAAGAAAAGAAAAGAAATAAAAAGGGACAGCAAGGAGTCTGGGGAGGAACCTTATTATGTTGAAATAAAATATTATTATGAGGATTCACTGAGGTAATAGGGTAGGAAAGTCACTTTTACTGGGTGTCAGTTGTTATCACCATGGGGTTATCAGCCTAAACATTTTCCTATTCAGGGTCAACCCTCTGGCACGATAGAGAAAGACAGAAATTTCTCCTTCCTTCCTTTTCTGTACTCAGCCTGTTCTACTCCTGCCTCCAGGGTCTATCTTAAGTTCTTCCTGGGCTTGCCTCGGCCCAGCATTAATATTTCTCTCTTACGACTCAGACTGTTAAAGGTTCAAGGTGTGGCTGCACTATAGCCAGAGCCTCTCCTCAGGAAAGTCTTCAAGACTCGTAGGAGAGACTCTAACGATGAAATATTCAGGTACTCTGCCAGACAGTGAGGGAGATTTTGTGGGACAAAGACTTCCTGGTACTCCTTAAAACACATGATGTAGATAGCTCTATATGCAGTGCAGCAGAAAAACTACATCATATCTAAACAAAATAGTTTGTGGACTATAGCAAAAGGGCTTACAGAGGCTGAGTTACCATTTTGCCATATGTCCCCTCTAAGCTTGAGAACACTTTCTTTACCCTGGACACTCTCTCTCTCTCTCTCTCTCTCTCTCTCTCTCTCTCTCTCTCTCTCTCTCTCTCTCTCTCTCTCTCCTCCCCCGTGTGTGTGTATGTGACTGATTTTGAGAGGATGTTTTGTACCAACTATTCTTACCAACTTAGTAAATACCCTTTTCTAAAAATTAGTTGAGTCTGGCTAACTGATATCAGCAAATAATCATGGTTGGAGGGGATATACTGGTGGGGGTTCATGAGTTATGGGGGTGGGAGAGGTGGGGGAACCAATCTTCAACTCTTCAGAGCTAGCCTTAGATCCCCTGAGGGAAGATGCAACAGCCATGTTCTGGTGACCCAGCCTGCCAGTGTGAATGTGGCCTGGGAGAGTAGTTTCTGATCTTCTCTAAATCTTCAGCAGCTGTGGCTAAAGCACCACAGATGTGGCTCCCAGGCCACGTTGCCACAGTAGTTGCTTCCTGAGATGATGGTTGTGGATCAGGACCAGGACTCTGCCAGGTGCTGCCACTGTAAGCCCACGGATGGCAGTTGGTGGCATTAAGGAGGATGGGCCCCTCTGTCACAATGATCATTCTTCTCACTGACGGCTGTGCAGCCTGGGCTGGAAGCAGGGCCAGAGGTCTGGAGACCACTGTCATTCCCAAGGCTCTTGGATGCAGCGTCTTTGGTCAGAGGGGAGGTGTTGACTGAGGTTTTAACTTGCCTGGCCTGAGCTGCCTCCCATCTCTCCCTCCACATGACTCGGTGCTTTAACCAAGCTGGCTGGAATGCCCCACAGGTAGATTTGGAGAAGGGAAGGGAGTTGTTTCTCCCTCTTCTCCCATTAGAACGTGAGTTTTCATTTTTGTCTTGTAGCCTAGCAATGCACCTTGCTCCAAATACCAGAGAACAATACCAGAGATTTAGAGCTGGCAGGATGCCTAGTCCAACACCCTCATCCTAGAGGTGAGGAAGCTGGGCCCCAGAGAGGTGAAAGGACATACAGGTAGTAAGTGGCCAGGCCAGGTGTGGCTCCTTAATGCCTTTCAAATCAAGTCCAAACCACTCTGATTGGCATTTTCTTTTTTTTTGGAGGCAATTGGGGTTAAGTGACTTGCCCAGGGTCACACAGCTAGTAAACGTCTGAGGCTGGATAATAACTCAGATCCTCCTGATTCCAGGGCCAGAGCTCTATCCACTTCACCACCTAGTTGCCCCTTCTGATTGGCATTTAAAGCTCTTTACAGCCTGCCTCCAACCTACCTTTCCACGGCTATTATACATGCAATGAGGGCTGATTCATGCACTTATCATGAAGTATCATTGTGGGACTAAAAGGGAAGCAGAGTTGACACCTCTGGCCTCTTTTCCCCTCCCCCTTCTTTAAGGGAGACTTCAATAATTCCTGCCAGGAATGGAAGCAGGAGGTGGAGGCCAGAGGCCATTCTGTTCTCCTCAGAGGGAGGGGATGTTGGGCTAGAATCATATCTGTCTGCTCCCTTACCTATTGTTAGAATGGGTGACGGGATTTTCAGTTTCAAGCTAACTTCTGACTAAGGTTTAATTATTGGGGAAAGCAGGAAGACCCATGATTTCTATCCAAGCATTGACTCCTTTCCCAGCAAACATCAGTTCCACAATGTACGCGCCTAGTAGGTAGCCAAGAAACCCATTTATCCAAATTATAGCAAAACCAAAATCAGAGAAAGTGTACATGGGGAAATATGTACCAGACAATACAGAATGAAGAGCTCTCCCATTGGGAACAATGTCATTCAGCCCAGCCGAAAGAAAGCCTCCAATCTCACTCAAGCAGAAATTCCTAGTGTCCGGTGTAGTGAGCTGGGGATATGGACACAAGGGAGACTAACAGAGTCTTTTCCTTCAGCAAACGGACATGGCGTCGGCCTCATCCATCTTCTCTCCTGAAGCTGAACATCAGCAGTGCATGAATCCTGAAGATTACTCAAAAGACTGGAGCCTCTCCTCTTCCCGTCTAGACAACTCCACCCAGGTGCTCACACAGGTGTAGAGCATCGATCTCCGCCAGGGCAGAGAGTCCTATACCAGCGCACTTTGGGACTTGGGTTACCTCCATTATTCCCCTTTTCAATAAATCTGTCCTTCCTCCAGTTGCTGACACACAACATTATTCCCCATGCCTGGAATGCACTATCCCCCGCTCTCCCCTCCAAAGGTCTTTAAGTAGAGCTCACTGAGAGTAGGAAGTGTCCCATTCTTTGTATTCACTTCCCAGCGCTTAGTATGGTTCCTGGAATACAGTAGGTGTTTAATAAATGCTTGCCAGTTGATTGATTATAGTGAGAATTCCTTTTGGATATGGATTGGACTAGATAGCCACCAAGATTCCTTCTGACTCTTAAACATTCCATGACTCTGTGGTTCCTAGAATCTGTAGCTTCCTTCAAGGCTGAGCTCAAGAATGACCTCTGACATGAGACCTCTCCTGATTGTTTCCAGCTGCTAGTGCCTCCCACTGAAATTATGATAGACAGACAGAGACAGACACACAGACAGATAGATAGATAGATAGATAGATAGATAGATAGATAGATAGATAGATAGATAGATAGATAGATAGATAGATGGATGGATAGGTAGACAGGTAGATGGATAGATGGATGGATAGATGGATGAGTGAATGAACAGATAGAGATAGAGATATATACACATATGTGTATATATATATTGCATATACTGATATATGTACATGTTTCTCCTATAGAATCTCATTTCCTTCAGGACAGGAACTATCTGACTTTTATAGCTCCTTTCCATAATTCATAGATGATGCTATACTTCTAGTAGATGTTTAATGAATTCTGTTTGAATGAATTGAGCTCCACTGGCCTGGATGTGGAGAGCCCAGGATTTTTAGGGGAGTCTCGATAGGGACAAGAACAGGAACTGGATTTGGGATTTCATTAGGAACTCCCAGGTGAGAAAATTCCTTCTACCAGTGTAGGTTGGCATCTACTCTGCAACTTATGGTATTAGGAAATTGCCTGGAGTTCTGAGAAGGAAAGTGACTTGCCCAGGGTCATGCAACCAGGATATGTCAGGCATTGGACTTGAGTCCAGATTTCCTGGTTTGGGGGGAGTCTCTATACCTACCCCAGCGATCATCTCCAATGCTCTGGGGAGAAGAGAGGGGTCTTTTGGACCTTGAGATGCCCAGTCCAGGGGCTGACCCCCTGTCCAAATAGCCCAGAGCTCTGCCGTCACAGTCCCTGGGTCAGGGCATTTGACCCCTGAGATCCCCAGTTCTCTGCATTTTTGGGAAATTGGCTAAAAGGCTAGCTGATGGATGGAGAGACCAAACCAAACCATAGCAAAAGTACATGGGAGAAAAAATGGTTAAGCATGCCTACAGAAGCTCCCAGCAGCCAAGGCATTAATTATCCCCGCCACGCTAAGCCAGTGGCAGTGACGTACTTAGGCTTGTTTTTTTTTAAGCCCACAGCTCTGCTGTGAAAAACCAAATTTTCCATGTGAAGTTGAGTGGGAGACACTGAATCCAGTGACTGTGTTTCTGGGACCAGATCTTCAGGCCAAGATGCTTAGCTGAGATGTTAAAGAAAACCTGAATTTGGCTAATTTGGATTGTTCAGGGCCTTTGACTGGAGTGAGGAGAGTATGGACTTGGAGTCAGCTTGGGTTTGAATCCTAGCTCTGACCCTTGGGCAGATCATTTCACCTCTCAATCTCCCCATCTGGAAAATGGGGAGAATAATCCTTGGGCTACTTATCCTATAGGGCTATTGTGATGAAAGGCAGAGGAGTACAGTGGAAAGGGGGCAGCTAGGTGGCACTGGAGTGGTTAGAGACCTGGGCCTGGAATCAGGAAGACCTGAGTTCAAATTCAGCCTCAGACATATACTAGCTGTGTGACCTTGGTCAAGTCACTTAACCCTGTTTACCTCAATTTCTTCATCTGTAAAATGAGCTGGAGAAGGAAATGGCAAAGCACTCCCAGTATCTTTGCCAGGAAAACCCCAAATGGGGTCAGAAGAGTCAAACCTGACCAAATACAGTGGAAAGAGGAACTGGAGTCAGAAGATCTGAGTTTGAATCTGGTTTTGCCACTTACTGTGTGATTCGGGCAAGTCCCTGTGCTTCAGTTTTTTCATCTGTAGAATGAGGATTTCTGAGGTTTCTTTGCACTTCTCCCTCTAACATCTTATGATCACTAGTTTGTGACCTTGAGCAAATCACATAATGTCTCTAACTTCAGTTTTCTCAAATGTAAAATGTTGGGGTTGGGGAGGCAGCTAGGTGGTGTAGTAGATAGAGTTCCAGCCTTGGAGTCAGGAGGACCCGAGTTCAAATCTTGCCTCAGACACTTAACACTTACTAGCTGTGTGACCTTGGACAAGTCACTTAACCTCAACTGCCTCACCAAAGATAGATAGATAGATAGATAGATAGATAGATAGATAGATAGATATAGATAGATAGATAAACCATTTGAAAAAAAATTCAAATGTAAAATGGGGGTATTGGACCAGGTGGCCCTTGAGATGCCTTCCAGACCTAGATTTATAAGTCTATGATGTCTGAAGTCCTTTCCACTTCTAAAACTAGAATCTTAGGAAATCCCTCTTTTAAAAAAAGATAGTTTACTGATGCCTTTTGTCTTCATGTTATAGTTATTTCCCAGAGTGCTCCAGATGGAACCCACCCTTGTGACAATGGAAAAAAATAAGCCAAAATGTCCAATACAGAGACTATGTCTGACATTGTATAGAATAGAAAGTTGGATAGGGTGACCCAGGTCAGATTGAAGCACTTTATTGGGTCTATTTGCTTAATTTTTTCTCTTTGTCAGGATGGGGATCGGGGAGAAGAAGGGGTCAGAATAGAATCCAAAACAAGCCTTCTTCACCTTCTTTGTGTCATGGACCCCTCTGTTTGTCTGGTGAAGCCCTTCTCAGAAAGATTTTTTGTCCACATTCATAATGGAAAGAAATACTCAATTTCAGTTAGAGGTTAGTGAAAATTAAGGTGTCATTTTTGTTCATATCTAAGGTCACAGATGCCCTGAAATCTATGAGGAGGGGGAGGTCTGTTGACATCAGGTTAAGAATTTTTGATCTAAAAAGAAGAGCCCTCACACAGACACTTTTCCTGCCCCAGAAATAGCTGTGACAAAAATATAAATGGTTCTGATAAAACTTTTTAAAAATTATTTTTAATGAGGGGTTTGGAATCAGTAATGCCTAAGGTCCCTTCAGCTCTCAATCTGTGATCCTACGGTCCTTTGGATGAAAATGTCCCCCTTCTGTGGAATACCCAAGTCATGATTTCTTCCTTTAAAACTTGCTGACTGGGACAGCTTTTTGGTAAGGCAGCAGAGGGAGTGAAGTTAGTCACTTTTGGTTAACTCTGGAAAAAGAATTCTGGGATGTCAGAGCAAATCTGGGTCAAAGGAAGACCTGGCAGGTGGAGGATGGGGGAGTGGGGAGTGTGCCCTGGGTTATCACTTTTCCAGTCTGTGCCTGATCTTCCTTAACCTGGACAGTTGAGTCCTGAGTAACATTAGGTTGGTGTGATGCCAATCTTCAATGATCTCAAAGCACTCTGAGGGCAGAGCTCACCTCAGTATGAAAGGGAGTGGGGGCCGAGGGAAAGGGTCATCTTCTATATTTTACAAAGGATGTAAATGAAGGCCTTAGAGGAATAATAATAATGTTAGACCGTGGTTTGCAGTGAGCCAGTGACTTACCCCTAGAGATCTCCAGATGACCTTCATGAAGGCTAGGTCAGTCCCTCTGACCCACTGTCAGGGGCTCAGGTCGCAGCTGCTCCCAGGCCTCCTTTGGAAAGAGGCAAAAAATGGAGATGGTCACCACCCCTCTTTTCCCCACAGTGCTCTGGACACATGCTCTATCATCCTCCAAGGGAATCTGGCCAACTTAGGGATGAATAATATAATGTCCCCTTCAGCACAGCCTTTCCCCAAGTTCTACCATCTCTTTCTCTCTGAATGTGAAAGAGTAATGCCTGCCATAACAGCAAACATCGGCCTTTCAGATCCCTCTGGAATGGCGCTACATAAGGGCCATGTTGTTATTGTTGGGCTTACGCCACCATCCTTATCATCTCAAAGGCATCGGAGGAGAGATGAGCAGGATGAGAACCATTAAGAGGAGGACGAGTCTGGGAATTGGAAGACCTGGGGTTGGGCCTCAGCCCTGCCTCCAACCCTGTGTGACCTTGGACTAATCCCTCCCCTTCTCTAAGCATCTTTTTCTTCTTCTGGAAATTTAGGATTTGGGCAAAGATCACAGGATCCAGGATCTGGGCCTCACAGGCCATCCAACCAAATGCTCTCACTTTACAGATTAGGAAGCTGAGGCTCACTAAAGTGAAGTCACTTAAGGCCCTGGGATCATAGCTTCAGGTCAGAAAAGGGCTCAAAGGCCACCTGGTCCAGTCCCTTCATTTTACCAGGCAGTGATGTGCTGTCACAAAGGTAGGAATTGTCAGGAGCAAGATTTGAACCAGGTCCTCTGCCTCTACAACCAGGGCCCTTGTCCCTGTATCACTGAGCTCCCTTCTGCCTCTGACACTTTTGAGTTCATAAATATAAGATGGAAAACTGGGGGAAGATTTTATAACCCAAGAGAGGAAACAAATAATCCAGGCTGCCAAAAGGGATAGGCATAGTGCAAGAGAGGGAAAGTCAATCAACTGGGGAGTCGATAAACATGTGTTGAGTACCTACTATGTGCCAGGCACTATTATAAAGCTACCTGAAGAGCCCTTCAAGGACATACCACACGCTTCATTAATGGCCATTTGGGTAGAGCCAGAGTGACTCCAACGCACTATATGGAAAGATGAAGAAGTTGGAGGATGGAAAAAAATCCATTTTAACCAAAGTATTTTGATTATCTTCCCCCTCCCTCCCCACTCAAATCCTCCTCTGAGGCCTCTTCCTTTCATGAAGGTCAGCCTGGGTTCTGGAAGGCAAAATTGACAGAACGCTAACTCGGGGAAGTCCAGAAAGGCTTAGCATAGGGGCCCAGTGACAGATGTCTGTTGACCAAGGACAGTTGTAGTTAAGTGCAGAAGGGCTCATCACCAGATTATCCACAGGGTGAAGATCTAACTATGGCAAGGCTACTCAGTCCCAGGAGGGTTGCAATCTGTATTGGTAGAGAGAGTACCCATACTGAGAAGATCATAAATTCTTAAAGTTTGGTGGTTAGATACGGTTTGGTGCAAGGTCCAGTTTTGAGGTCAAAATGGGACCTTCCTGACCCTATTGAAGCTGAGTAGTTTAGCATATTTTTTCCTTTTCTTTCCTAAATATTGCTAATTTTATTTTTTAAATGTTGCTAATGAAATTACCAACAGTCATCTGGAAAAAATGCTCAAAATCACATACGGTTGGGAAAATGCAAATTAAAACAACTCCGCAGTATCATCTCACAGCCATCAAATTGTCAAAGAAGGGGAAAGATGAAAAAAATTCACCAGTATTGGCGTGGTGGGAAGACAGACACACTCATACACTCAGTGAGCAGTGCGCATTTAGTCCCAGCCATTGGAGAGTACAAGAAAAATTATAAACAAAAAATTATAAAATAATAAAATTCTATATAAAAATTATTTTAAAAATTATAATAAGTAATTCCAATCATTCCACTTTGGAGTGGAAACTGTTTGTTTGTCTTGCCCATCCTTTGATTTTGTTGCTATTGGGAGCTCCCAGTAAGGATCCATGATCTTGGACAAGTCCTCAGTTTCCTCATCTGTAAAATGAAGGGTTGAACTAGATGTCCTCCAAAGTCTTTTCTAGATCTAAGTTTATGTGTGACCTGAGCAAGTCACATAACTGTGCCTCAGTTTCCTCATCTATAAAATAAGGAAATTGAGCTAACAAGATGACTTCTAAGGTCCCTTCCAGCTCCAGAGCTATAAGCCCATGAACATTATCTACCAAGGCAGACAGGTAGTTCTGCAATTAGAGAACTGGGGAGTGGGTATGGTTGTGGGAGAAGGAGCGGGGAGGCGGCATTGAGAGATTCACCTGATTATATCAAGGGAGAGACTCAGACCCAAAGCTCTCTGTCTACTCCATCCCACAGGTTCCCAAAGAGGGACCTGGAGGTCACTGGAAGGGTCTAGTGGGGGAGGTAGCAGCCTTTGGTGCAATTGGAAGGCATTGAATAAAAGTAAGGGAGCGGTGGAAGCATAAAGAAAGAAGAAAAGAGAAGAAAATTTTGAAAAACCATTTGTACATGTTTCATTTGTGTGTAACAGAGTTAAAGTCTTAGTAATTACACTATTTTCCAAATAAAAACACAAAATGCAAGTTATTAACAGATCAGCGGTCAAGTCTTCAGACAGGTCTTAACAAGCAAGTGCTTGGCATGGTCAGCAAGTCTGGCATGCATGGGCGGGCATATGTTCCTGCGATGACTTGTTTACAATACTCTACGGTTACATGATGCAATATTGCATCATCAAAGTTTCACTGCAGGAAAAAACAAATTTACAATAAATTGCTAACTTTAAGATGAGTCATTTAAAAAATGTTTATTTTTTTTAAATGACACAATTTTTAAAAAATCATTAAAGATATAGAGCACCGGCCCTGAAGTCAGGAGGACCTGAGTTCAAATCTAGTGTGACCCTGGGCAAATCACTTAACCCCAATTGCCTAAAAAAAAAAAGCAAAAAAAAAATCATTAAAGAGTTTAAAAAAGTAGATTTCCAGGGGCACTGAGGAATTATTTTTTTGAAAAGGGGGCGGTAGGCCGAATAAGTTTGGGAACCTCTGGTCTACACTACATCAGCATTGCTTATCAAGAATGCAAAAAAGATTACTGGTAATAGAAGATCCATCTGTCTAAAAATAGAGTAACACTTTGGATAATAACAGTGTTAGAAATCAACTTTGTATGTAACGGTACCAACCGTGGTATCTGAATGCAGTTAAATATGACTTTGCCACAAGCAGAGACAAGAATTCAAAATAACGTGGAAAGAGAGGCATGAAATGGGCAGAAGGAAGAAAGAGGAGCACGGAACGATGACTACAACCTGATAAATAAAATCAACTCAGGTTGAATGCAAAAGGGAACAAGGATGGCTACTACAATAACTTGCAAAGTTTCATCGGTTACAGTCAGTTACAATCACTCCGTTACAGTGCTTTGGGCAACAATTTTGGGGATCTTTCGGATCGCAGAGATAGAACCGGAACGAACCCTGGAGATCATGCCATGGAGTGGTTCTCAGTGGACTCACAATGATGTCTAAGTGGGGGAGGGGTGGGGTGGCAATAAAAACTCTTGAATGGCACCTTAAGCAATAAATAATTGCAGAATATTGGGAGTAGTACATCAAATCAGGTCAGCTAGTGATGCAACGGAGAGAGTGTTGGGGCCAGGAGTCAGGAAGACTCATCTTCCTAATTTCAAATCTGGCCTCAGATACATACTAGCTGTGTGACCCTGGGCAAATCACTTCACCCTGTTTGTCTCAGTTTCCTCACCTGTCAAGTAAGCTGGAGAAGGAAATGGCAAACCACTCCAGTATCTCTGCCAAGAAAACCCTAAATTGGGTCATGGAAAGTCGAATTATACACTAGGTAGGAATCAAGGGGAAAAATAAAAGGTCGCCAGTGCCTTTAGACATTGTTTTCTGTTCAGTCGTGTCCAACTCTTTGTGATCCCATTTGGGGTTTTCTTGGCTAAGATACTGGAGTGGTTTGCCCTTTCCTTCTCCAGTCCATTTGACAGATGAAGAAACTGAGGCAAACAGGGCTAAGTGACTTGTCCAGGGTCACACAGCTAGTAAGTATCTGAGGCTGGATTTGAACTCAGGCCTTCTGGACTCCAGACCTGGTGCTCTATCCACTGTATCAAATGTTAAAAAGTGTCAGTTTGCTGTTCTTTCTTTAGAGCCATTTTTTTTTCAGGTATTTGGAGGGATTTGGGGGAGGGCTCAAGCAAGTCGCTGCTTTTATTCCACCATCTTGGCTCTGCCCCTGAGAAAGAAATTTCTTCTGTTCTGTCTTAATCACTAAATAATTGCATCCATTTCAGTCATGCTACAAGGTTTAAAACACTATCATGGCAACATGGGGAGGTTAGAAGCACAAGTATCACCCCCCAAATACAGATGAGGAAACTGAGGCTTAATCAATGAGTCAATAAGTATTTTTTTTTGTCTAGGCAATGGGGTTAAGTGACTTGCCCACAGTCATACAGCTAGTAAGTGTTATGTGTCTGAATTCAGATTTGAACTCAGGTCCTCCTGAATTCAGCACTGGTGCTCTAACCACTGTGCCACCTAGCTGCTCCCAATAAGCATTTCTTAGACACCTACTGCATACCAGGCAAATTCAAGGAGATAACAGGATAAAAATGAAACAATACCTGACCCTGAGGAATTTACAGTCTAGCCAGGGGAGACAGCCCGGTTACTTATAAGAAAATATAAAACACAGACTTGGGGGGGAAGACACGAGCAGATAGGGGGTCAGGAAAGGCTTCAAATATGGTTGCTTCAGCCACTTGAAGGAAAGAAGAGAACACAACAGGTGGATGTGAGAAGGAAGCACATTTGACCCGTGCAAAATTAAGATAAATGAGGTAAGTTGCTTGGGCCCATCTAGTCAGTAAGCGTCAAAGGGGAGATTCAAAATCTGGTCTCTTGGCAATCCAGGACTTGTTCTTTTATGCCTCACCCACAGGCAGCTAGGTGGTGCAGTGGATAGAGCGCTGGGCCTAGAATCTGGAAGACCTAAATTCAAATTCAGCCTCAGACACTTACTATCTGTGGGACCCTGGGGTAGTCA